TTCATTTTTCTTCCTTTTGCCCAAAGTGCGCGTGGCCCTGTTCACTTGACTTTTTAGTGCGTCCATGCACATCAAGAAAATTCTCTGCACGTGCAAGCAATGGCTCGCGCGCACGTGTTTCCTATCTAGTTTTAATTCTTCCGATATCTATGGTAAATAATGAACCTTGCGAATTTTCTTGCGTACACTGTCAACGGAGTTTTCAAGAACTGGTTGAGGTTATTGTTCTTCGAAGAAAAACTGAATTCTGCACCCGAGGAATGGATAAAGTTGGAAAGAATATTGGTTGAGGTGTGCGCAGCAGTTTCCGGAGATCGATGGTAGTTAAATCAAGTTTGGAAAAAGGAACAGCTTTTGATATGTGTGTGAGGGTCTGGGGTTTCCCCTTGAAGAACATGACGTCATTAGTTAGGCACCTTATTTGAATGTGACCTTTGTGTAGCAAGGTGCTATTCGGTTGGTCCACTAGTGGTAAAATAGGGTCGATATTTCGGTATTATTTCATATGTTGTTACTTTTCGTGTCATTCTGTGTAAATTCCAAGTATAAGTCACTAATACTACGTGGTTATTTAGGCCTGGTCATTTGTTACGGGTAATTTACTTGTCACCTTCATGGTCAGTGTAGTGATATTTGACGTGCCGGTATGCACCCTGTGAACTCAGTCGCGGGCTTCGGGGGTTGATTCGACCTAAACAAGACCATGCCGTTCTCTGCCGTCGTACCGTACTTAGGAATTCCATCAATGTGATTAATTGAGGGACTTTGAGAGCCCCGATGTATGCCTGTGCTACATGTACATGTAACCGGTGAACAGCTTATTTGTGAGGCCTGAGGCCGGTGCTGTACATACCTGTACCAGTAGCTGTATTTTCATTCACTCATCTCAGCGTCAGGGTAAGAGACAAAATCTCTTTTTATTAGCAGGATGGTAATATTATTGTTGCTCTTTTTTAATTATGTCGGAACACATGACATGACATGTGGGGATAACTAGTGTCACTTTTTCTTGTTTCATACAGGTTTTTTTGTACACTACATTTTACTATTGCTGAAAAGCGTAATCGCTATCACTCCGGATGAATGTTTTGACTTGAGCACCATCTATTGAATGCAATCAACGAATAAACCACTGGTCTAATCAACTGATGTAATCAACGTGTTGTGGTCCCAATTGTGATTCTTTGCTAAGTGTCTCCCCTGATCCTCCCTCGGGACGGACTCCCCCTTTGAAGCGATCCAAGGGTCAGACCACTACTTGTGAGAAGCACTTTCAGAAAATTTCTGCACGCCTTGTACTTTATAATGCTTGACTGTAGGCCTAGACGGGCCTAGTAAGAAATTTATGACAGTGTAACTAGCCTATCAGGCTTAGTATATGAGACTTCACTATCCGCTCCGAGCGGAACAAAAGAGGGTGAAGTTTTTTTAGTACCGCATAGGCGCGCGTTTATAATGGAGATCAATGGCACGTTTGACGCGGAACGCTGAGTATGCGTAATGAATTTATTCCTTAAGTACGGTCTTTGGTAGTCTGCGCGCACACGCACAATGCGTGCAGAACCCGCTTGGAAAACTTACCTTTTTTACGCTTGGGTGCACTTCAACTTAGGGCGGACAGCGAAGTTGGGACAGTCTGAAATGTTACTTATTGGCAAAAGTCGTTTCAAAAACGGAATGATTAATTTGTCGCTTATTTTTCCCTGGATTACACCGGAAAAATCTGCAAGAAAGCCATGATTTGTGTTTATTAGATATGTAGATGCACTTAAACCATACTGGCGATTTCGCCACAATACTTTCCTTGGGGACCGTATCATATAGTTTGATTTTGCTATAGTAAGGTATTACTCTTTATTGGACTAAAAACTTCAACAACGAAGTACAGACAGTGGGAGCTACAAACGAAATTGAATCTGGGATTTGTAAAAACCACAATTCAGTTCACGCTTAGCATTATATGTGGTATCCCGATTACACAGTTCGTTTTTTAGCTCATGCGTAAGGGAGCCCTACATATTATTTCTGTCGACCTGGTACGCTTGAGACGAAATAGATTTTTGAAGTCTTTATTTTGTGCTCAAAATTCCCTCTATAATGATTTGAGAATTTCCCTATTCCCTATAATGATTTGAGAAGGCTTTCTGAAGAAAGCAGTGAAAGTACCTGCTGAACCTTTGAGACAATGACATTTGTAGCCCAATTTTTTGCCACCATGGCCATTTATGCGCATGCTTGCATAAATATAATGTTTTAATGGGAAGGTTCCGTCGCAAAAGCAGCTGCCAAAAACGCTCCATAGTAATAGACCCAACTTGAGTCGAAGGAGACAAATTGATAGTAAACTTAAACCCCTCCACATTTTTTAACCCTAACCCCCTAGGGTGTATGTAAAATCGTATTGAAATTGGAGTATTTGGGAGTGTTAGGGCTAATAGCTTTGGAAAAGCTTGGATTCAATTCGTACGTTTGCGACTTGGTGGATCCGCCCTAACTTTTAGTTTGCAAATACATAATTTGCGTTGATATTTAAAATATCGGCACACTGCATCGTAGGATGAACTACAAACAATCAGTGTATTTATGCACAGCTCTGTGGCAGAATTGGACCTGCAAAACAATCCGTCGTCAGTCTATACTCGAATTTAAGGCGTCATCTTTTCACCCGGTGTTGTGTTACAGATTTGGAACAAAGCTATTCACAAAAATCAAATTTTAAAGCATGCCGGAAATAGAAAAATGTGGAACCGTTCCAGGAATATCCGTTGTATTGAACTACGATCTTAAATGTCAATGAGCTAGGTAGGTATTCGCCCCGAGCTGAAGTGCACCCCTTATCGGCCAAAAGAGAGACAGGTGGTTACAAGCGGCTTCTTGCACGCGTTCTGCGTGCACGCAAAGACCATACATGTCGGAGTAAAATAGTTACGCGCACTCAGCGTACTCCGCGTCAAACACGCATATACTTGCGGTGAGTACACAGACATATTATACAAATATTGACTGCTTCGAGTGGTACAGTAAAACTAACTTCTCTCAGTGATCCATGGAGCATTCAGGAAAAAGCCCTCGGGAAAATAGAATGCTCCATGGATCACCGAGGGAGGCAAGTTTTACTGTATCGCGAGATAAAGCAGTCAATATTTGTTTTATAACACCTCCCAACAGATTCTGCAAAATTTAAGCTAAAAATCAATAATGAAACACCAAACTGGAATTTACATTCATCAAATTTAATTCAAGAATTCCAGGCGGGACAGCAACGTTTGAATACATTCATTAACCGATGTTGTTCGCTATGAGCCGAAATACACTATGCTTCCGTTGTAAGGATATAGTTCTTCGGTTACTACGGGTAAGCCTGTAGGTCTTTTTCAGGATGAGGCTGCATGGTATAGCCTTTTTGAAGTGGTGGTATAAAAAAAGTAAAACTAGCAAGCGTCAAATGGCACAGAATCTGTGGGTAAGGTGTTATGAAAACGCATAGACCGCTAGTCGTGCGCGTATAACCGTGGTTTCGAAAAGTATGGGCAAACAATGGACGGAACGGTGAATGACAGCGCGTTCAGTGCACATTACGCGCAGCGCGCTTATATTGCCTGTATTTGTTTACATGTGCTTCCAAACACGTTTACTTTTTTCTTCGGTACTGCTATCTCTTCTTTTCAGCTGTTGCAACCGCATTGTTTTGAATCCCTATGGGCCAGATTAAGTAAATTTGTAAAGTTTTTTTTGCAATTAAAATATGGCTTCCTAGAATTTTATGGCTGGAATTCTTTAACTGTGCGTAAATTCCCTGTACCAAAATTGAATGAACCTTTCCCATGAAATATGTAAATAAGGCAGAGGCATACGCATCACTACCACTGGTTGGCAAAGTTGCTTAAATCTATGGCGTAACAATACAAATCTCCATGCGCGCTTAACCGTGAGCACATACACGCCGTTTCTGCTCTGTTATAGTTTGGCATGAGTGCTAAACTTAAAGGCAAGGAATTGTTACTTTCCAATCTCGGGGCACCAAAAAACTTTATTTGTTTTCAAGAAAGACGTGCTGAAATATCGGACAAAGGCTGTGATATGGTTTTAATGACCTTCATCGTGCCAGGTTATGGTTAGAGCAGCTCTCCTACACTGACAATGGTGATGACGGCTGCGCTTGCCATCCAGCGGTAGAAGCACGTATGCGCCTGTCTGATTTGCATATTTCATGGGAAAAGTCCATTGGGTGAATTTGCCCATAGTTTTGATTTTGGTCGGGCGCCGCGCAGACCACCAATACCCCTGTAGTTTAGAATAGGACTTAACGGTCTACGCGTTTATATGTCGGTGGGTGAGTGCTAAAAAACAAGCCCACTTATGTTCCGCTCGGAGCGGATGCGGTATGCGGTAGTACCATGCAAAAATATCTCTTTCCGAGCATTTCTTGTTCTGATAAGAGCCGGAGGGTACTTAACGTTTAGGACATTTTGCACTGTCAGGAGACAATGCCAGTATGCTGTCCGAAACACGAAAAAGAGTATACCGTCTGAAACACGAGACAGAGTATACTGTCCGAAGGGGGAACGGGTTAGTGTAGTGGTTCTTTCCTCGCTTTGCACTAATGAGGCCCGGGTTCGAGTCCCGCCTTGGCCCAGGCTTTAGATGCATTTGGCTTCCAGTCCATGCTCGCTCTCGCAGGTTTTCTCCGGGTACTCTGGTTTACTCCTGCCTCTAAAACTGGACCTTTTTCCTAATTCCTTGATGTGATGCTGATAAATAAATTGTATGTATAAACCTACAGTTATTGGCGCAAATAGCCTGAGTCGCTGAAGCGCCATTAAAAAACAACAACAACATCCGTCCGAAAAGTTGAGTACACAGCTGTTCAGAATGAGATTGTCCCCCCCCGCCCCCTTCGTGGTTAAAACACTTGGCTTGTGTGCTATCCAATCCCATGATGCAATCAGAATGCAGAGGGGTTTGTTCTTACGTGAATCATTAATTAACAAAACTCTCACCTTTTTCATGTCTTCGTATTTGATGAACAGAACGTTTGAATCGTGCCGCTTTTTCCACCAAAACAAGTTGTGCTCGAACCAATCCCCACCACAAACTAACATATAAACAAAACAAAAACAAAATGCGTTTCCAGTTGTGCGATGATTTCAACACATGAAATCGGCAACTACACAACTTGAAATATTAACTAATATTTACTGATTATAGAACTATTACAAGGATTGCACTATACGATAATTTAGTCGTTTCTCGTTTTCCCAAATGGGTCATTTCATAAACTTAGGTCTACTACTTTCCAGTCCAGATGTGCTTGTAAATTGAAAATCCCCGCTGCATTATTTCTCCACGAGGGATTGTACAAAACAAACTATATACACCTGCTAAATGCAAAAATCTATAATCTGAAGTCAGTTCTGAGAATAATTAATAGAATTAACGGGCATGGCCAGTTTTTTAGGGGGCAATACCTTTTCGAGCAGGCGGCAAAGCATTCGTTAGCCAAAAACTGAAAAACAGTAACTATTAACGATGAAAGGGCTCGTTCTGAAGCACGTTTAAGCAAACTGTTAATTTTCATCCCCTTCTCCCTTTTCCTTTCTCTCGTTTCTTTTCTGCCCTCTTCTTTTATTTTTTCCCAAGGGGTTACCCTCACCGTCGGACGTCAGTAGTTGTAACAATCAAAATAGCAATAACTCCAACTTCGCCTATATTTTTTTAAATACATTTGTGAACTAATTACATTTTTGTTGATTCCATACACAGAACTCCTTCTCAGAGAGTTAAATTCTATTATTGGTCTTCCTGGCTATCTTAAAAGATTTGATAGGTGCATAATAAAAATTATGCATAGCACTTTATAAAGTGATGTCACTGTTCATTATCAACGCGTAACGGTATGATTCTCAAATACAGGTTTTCCCGGCCAATTTCGGAAAAGGCGCAGTTTAATTGTAAAACAAAAATTCAATTTGGCCTGAATTTTGAAAACGACAGAAAACCTGGTTTCAGTTTCTCAAAACGGGCATTCAACTTCGTTTTGCATCCTTCAAACAAATATTTTCAACCAATCGTAATATCTTTACGAACATGCGGAATATCTGGAATAACAGACAACTATTGATCATCGCCGCACCATTATTAGTTTTCATATTCGTAGCAGCTGGAAGTGTCCCGCACTGCGAAAGCGTGTCCGTTCACAAGAATATTACCATCTGATCCACCTCTCCTCAAAAAATCGGTCTTATCACTATACTCATAAACATTCATAATATGCACAGTGAAAACCTTTTGGCATGGCATTTAATGAAGTCAGTTAGGCTTCATCACGCTCTCCACATTGTGGCGCCCATACTGCATCCTTTACTGGGTTCATCCATTGCGTTCGCTAACTCGTGAAACGGCGTATGGAGTACCCCTTTTCTCATTTCCAATCGGCCCTTTTCTCTGCCGCCGACCCCATCAGTCTGCAACTTCTGACCACGAAAAAAGTTAGGAAAATATTCTTTCCAATTTCGTGGTAGAAAAACGGGATAGTGTGCATATTTCACACCGATTGGGCATTCGCAATTTGGCATTTTCCCCACATAGCTTGCAAGTGCACTAATGTAAAAAAAAAAAAAACCAGAAGGTACATGCACAGTGGCGAGATTATGTGACTTTAATGGTCAAGATCATAATCATTCATCTTTCAAATAACTGAATTTCTCGTGATGCTCTATTTTTCAGCGACTGTTTTGAAATTATAAGTAATTGAACAAATACAAGTAATTTAAGTAGACAACGAGAAATTTGAAATCTCAGACCTACCGATCAGCTCCCTGAAATGCCGACACTATGTTATACTCAAACACACTTGCAGGAAGTTGTTGAATCGAAACGGTTGGAATGTGCTACCGGAATTGTCTGAGTATTTTGAGTATATTTTAGAGCGTTTTCGCCACTTGGCTCACGGTCTAAATTTGAAAGGGATGAACCAGATGTAGTTTCTGAAATTTGTTATAAACCGTTCGGGAACACTGCTTGGTTCTATTTCTGGATCAATTACAAAATTATAAGCATACCATACATACTGAATTTTTAATGATTTTTCATCTATTTTCACTATCTCGTTCAGCATTTATGATCTACTTTCCATATCCAAGATTCTGCAGTCATCTAGAGCGGGGCAGAAAAGGGGCCATGCTTTTCCGAGCAATACTGGGATCAACAAAGCCGCAGGCCTCATTTCCCCCATCTCGCATGAGTGTCAATACTTACCATCCTTATTGATAAATCTTTCAAAGAATTTCTCCCAGCTGGGGTATGTCTGTAAGGTCGTGTCAAACTGGTGCATGTGGTAATAGGAGACTGCCACATCTTTTGGGTTGCGAGCTACATACACCACCTTCGGTTTTTTCTCAAAAATCTGTCTGGGAAGAAAAATGGGTGCTAGATGCGTCTTGATCTTTCTGGGTGTGTCGCATGGCATCTTGGGCAAGAGCGAGTGCGTCGGTGGGATCAAACCGACCTGAGAAAAAAAAATGTAAAGCTCAAATACTACATTCAAACTACTTCATTTGACGTTATCCGCCCTGAGCAGAAACACTCCCTGATCGGTCGAAAAGAGCCACATTGGTTGGGGGTGTTCACTATGTTGGTAGGAATGCGCCCGCAACGCTTACGTTTCATAGTCGTTCTAGAAGCAGCAATGCGCAGTTAGTACCATTGAGCCTCCGTTACTTAGGAAACATTGCCCTCTTTTGGTCCAGCTCGGGGACGCGTGACGTCACTGTGAACCAGAAAGTGCAGTGCAAACGAATGGAGTGCGCGCGCGTGTTGGTTCACGCTCTGGTTCTCGCGCTATCGCCTTTTGCACACTAATTGTGCGCGTGACGTATTCACTTCGGTACTCTCTGGAGTACAGACGTGAATACGTCACGCGCAAAATAATGTTAAAAAGAGGTTTTAGTGCGAGAACCAGCGCGTGACCCAACACACGCGCGCGCTCCATTCGTTTGCACAACACTTTGTGATTCACAGTGGCCTCACATCGGTACTCTTTCCGCTCAGAGCGGAAACAAAAGAGCGCGTGTTTTTAATGAAACTGACCACAGACATAATAAACGCACGAACTCACCGCGTAGGCGCGCAAGTTCATGCGAGTTTGGAGCGGGGAACGCTGAGTACGCACAACAAATTTATGCTGGAATGTATAATCTGCGAGTGTTTGTCGAACGCGAACAGAACCAAAGATTGTATAGCGCCGTGTTGAAAAACTTTAAGCATTTTCGAAACTAGCGGGTTAGGCTTAGGCTGCATCCGAATCTCTTGTCTAGAGCCAAGTCTAGGTCTTCGCTCCATTGGAAATGTGTGGAGACGCGTATAAAATAGACCTAGCTGTAGCTCTAGAAGCCCGTTTCGGACACGGCCTACATCTTCGGCTTCGCTGTTTCCAGCCATTTTCAAGCAGCATTCAAAACTGCATGCAGACGCTCTGACGGGGACCAGAAAAACCGAAGACCAAGCCTAATCCATTCGTTTCGAAGTGCAGCTTTGTATCAGTCTATCTTTCTTTCGCCTGTGAGGGTGCACTTCCGCTCAGGGCGAATAATCTCCCATTGGAACCCCGATGGAAATAAGCCTGTGTAATTGGCTTTCTTGGGTTATCCTAGAATTAATCAACCGTATCATGTTTTCTTTGTGTACGGTTGTTTCTTGGTTGGTTGATTTCTGAATAAAATAATAATAATAATTGATCTCCATCACAATATCCAAATATTGGCTCCTTCGGGTAGTATAGTAAAACTCGCCTCCCGAGATGATTCATGAAGCATTCTATTTTCCTGAGGTAAATACTTTACAGCAAGATAAATGAGTCAATATTTGTTTTATAACACCTCCCCACAGATTCTGCAAGAGTTAAGCTAAAACTCAAGAATGAAACACCAAACTGGAATTTACATTCATCAAATTTAATTCAAGAATCCCAAGCGGAACAGCAACCGTTTGAATACATTCATTAACCAATGTTGTACAATCCTTGTAAAAGACCAGCATCTCATCAATACGGGCGATTCACAATAGTGCGCCTCCAAAAGTTTGCAACGCGTTGACCAATCACAAGGCACTGAATCTATCGACCCTTCCGACAGATTTTGGGCACTGTGATTGGTCAACGCGTTGCAAACTCTTGGAGGCGCACTATTGCGAAACACCCGTACTTTAGATTCAGCAAACAGAGTTCAAGGAAAATTGTGGGAATTATATAACAGCTGGAAGATTACTAAATGTTCATGCCTTCAAATCTTCCATCTGTTCAACTTAAATTAAAAATTCAAATCTCGTTTGAAGAAAATTGAAAAGACTCAGCTGTTCAGTTTATTCTGAACTGACTTACATGACTGCCAAATTACAGGACTCCTAGTTGTAGAAATTAATTATGCATCCATGGAAATGGAAAGTGCGATTGGATGTTGCATCAGCATTAATGTTCACATTTGCAGCCACTGGTGATGAAGTATTCAAATTACCTTGGTGAACTGGTGAAATAGCTATGTCTCTCAAAATAAGGGATTCTTGAGATGCTGTCGACAATGAGGAAGATTGACCCTGTGTTTGGCTGGGTATTACGTATTAGGTTTCGTGTTCTCGCTGGTGTGGCTGTGATTCTTGATGCTTGTTTCTGAGTGATGGCCAGAAATGGTTATGATGTCTCTGGATTCGAAGCCAGCATTGTCAAGAATTGTAACGCTTGTAGCTCTGAAGCAATGGTTAGTATACAGCTTGTCACATTTTGCTTCCATGGAAATAACCTTGAGTTTGTTGGACAGATTGTTTCATTACAATGTCATGTGTATGAGCCGGGGCAAAAGTTGTCTTTCGGTCTTTGCCAAAGAGATTCCAGTTGGGATGCAACTTCTATGAGTACAGGAGAAATTTGTTCACAGCACAGCGGGGGTTCCCGAGTACTTCATAAATAAGACCTGCTTGGCTTTGTCGTCATTGATCCCATGTTATTTTGCGTCAGGTGATCACGTTCTGTAGTTGCGATAAACCGCAGCCCGTTGGAATCAGTATGCATTTTGAAGTCCGTCTTTTTCCTGTCTCTTACATTTTCCTTGCCTCGATTGCAGAAATAAATCATAATGTCTATGAACACCTCGTTCTGAAGACCATCTGATGTGGCGATATTCGTTTATACGTGAAGCATTTATTTTGTCCATGTCGTCTGAAGTAATGGAATTTTTATGTTCTACATACCCCTCTCCAATTTTTTCAAGTGAACGAGTACCACTTTCAAGCACCTTTTGGATCGCTCAAATGCTTGATCCTTCACAATGTCGACTGGATTGCTTTGTTTTTGAAACGCTCCTTAAAGGGTTTCTGTCAAGTTACTTACATTTGAAGGACAATGAAACTCACCAGGACATTGTGGATTATCTCGAAGGAAAACTTGAAAAAAGGCATTAAGTCAACAAAGGACACTGAGTCATGGGAACGTTGAACATCAACATCACGGGAACTGGATCTGCTTGCCCTAAAGACGGTACTCAGTTACCGAAAGCTCGGCAATTACATATTTCAGATCACTGATTTTATATTATATTCTTGTAAATATTCTGGTCTAGGTGCTACGCAGCCCTTTCATATTTCTCTGCGTAACACAGGAGTTGTGTTTACAGAAACCACATTGTCCCGGTGTAAGAATGTATTTTTCAAGATGTCTACTGATGGGACAGTGAACTATGTGCTCCAAAAACTTGCAACATATGGAAGGTAACGAAACTGGTCTGTAATTTGTTGGTGCTGATTTATTCCCCTTTTCGTAAAGTGCTGTTACATTTGCTTATAACCTGTCCTCTGGAAACTCGCCAGTGTCAAATGACTGCCGCAAGACTCTGGTCAAGAACGCCGCAATTTCCTCTGATGTTTACTTAATATTGTCTGGGCCGCTTGCTTTATTAATTTTGATCTATTTCAGGAGTTCAAAGACCCCCTCAGAGTACCTCAGTAGGCACAAAAGGAATCATGGGGATATCTTCAATTGTGAAAACAGATTTAAACAGATCAGCCAGTGCCAGAGCATTGTCTTCGTCAGTAAAGTGGTACACACCATCCCGTTTTACATTGGAACTTTGTGGTTCTTCTAATTTTTTACTCCTGGTGTATTTCCAAATCCCTCATCGGATCGTCTTTCAAATATGCCATTTCTTTGATATATTTCTGTTGTTCTTTGTTCAACTCCTTTTTAACAAGCTTTGTAGGCGCTGTAAATTTCTCCCATGTAGCTGGACTCACACATCTCAGGATCCTGTTTTTAATTCTAAACAAGTCTTTTTAGTCTTGCTGTTGAACCAAGGTACGTTTGACAAGATCCGGAGAGCCTAGAAGGAATGTCTTCTAGCTTTGTAAAGATCAGACGTTCCAGTTTGCTTCAGTATCTTTGTACGAAATTGACCAACATGTGGTTTGCCAGTACAAAATTTCCCTTTGACCCTCTTTATGGCCCTCCATAGACCTGACCTGGGTGACACTAGCCAGTTGACCCAAATACCTTTACAAGTTCTTAACAGATTCAATATTATAATTCAGTTGTGGTAGGTTTTCTCTCATACATACACGTATAATGTTATACTACAATCACTTTGTCATTTGCCACGTCAGCTACTGCAGCTTCGAAGTTGAATAAGGGAATTTGCCAGTTTTTGTTCTTGGATAGGCTCAATGTCGTAAGTGTTCTTTATTCCCTTTCAATGATAATGAACGAATTGGAAATTGCCGTATGAGAATTTACACCTTGCCACAAGTAATCCGATTTAAATTATACATAGCTTAACTACTGCTTATTAAGTTTAGTTTAGATTAGATGTTAATATTTTGCGTAGATTGCACCATCATCGACATCGATATCGACATCATCGTCATTATCGTCAGATACACGCAGAATAAATGATGGTGATATGTGCGTAATATACTGTTGCGTTCCCTAAATATCAAGTCGATGGTAGCATGGACTTTATTAGTGTCTACTGGATGTGATATTTGGGGTCAACAATTTATTAAAAGGTGGACGTGAAACAAGGGGTTTGGGTGACAGTCAAACTGGATGGTTGGTTTATTGCTCTCACTTCTTTTCATCAAAGTTCAATGTGGGTTTGTAACCAAGTTAGACGGAGTGGGTTACTGTACGTGTGTGTAGCATCGCACAACTAGGTTTAACTCATGGTGGGAGCTGTCCCTGCGGGCCATTACGGGTCTAGCAGGGGCTGGACGAGGCCAGCGCCGGTATGTACCGACCGCACTGCAGTTCAGACCGCAATGTGTTGAGCGCAATGATAAGATCGCCGCACTGTGTACCATTGGCTCAGCGTAGAGACGGGGAGGACTGGGCTAGTTAGCAGGACAAGGGTGGCGAGGGACACGGGGGTGTCTCGCCCGGCAATCGGTTCGGACGTAGCGGTGACGGGCCGCTACGACTCTCACTAGCACCCTGGGCTAGTTTGTACCGCTCTCGCATCGGTCCAAGCT